CCTCCTGCCTCTGTGGCCGTACGTCGTCATCGCCGGCTTCCTAGCATATATAAAGATCTTTGGAATTCACTGACTTGATCGAGAAACAGCCAGGAATTGGTTCAATGTATGTATGGTACTCCCTCCATCCCAAATTGTAAGACGTTTGACTTTTTTGCCCCAAGTTTGACCACTCGTCTTATTCAAAAAATTTGTAAAAATATAGTCAAATTTAAGTCATTCTTGAAGAATTTTTATTAATAAACCAAACCACAACGAAAGAAGTGATATTTTACACAAATTTTTGAATAAGACGAGTGGTCAAACTTAGTGTCAAAAAAGTCAAACGTCTTACAATTTAGGATGGATTAAGTATCTTATTGCATTCATCATCGATCGTTGATTATTAATTATAATTGATGTAGGGTGATTTTCTTTATTAGATGTGACTTTGCTTTGTATTATATTATTCTCTCTGTGCATTCTAAATTATAAGATGTTTTGACTCTCTAGCTACATAGCTTTAATTTTACTATACACTTAGACATGTTATACATAGCATCTGTGCTGCCAGTGAATCGGTGAAGAAGCAAGCAGCTGATATACCGAATCGTCATTTACTGCCAATTCAAAATCCCCCTATCACTCCCAGAATTTGAACCGGCACTACCAAATCGGCAGTGATGTACCGGTCCTGTCACTGTCGATTTTTTTAAACCGGTAGTGATAACAACCTTCACTACCGGTGTTTTGTTGAGCCAACACTGTCGGTTCGTGGTGCCAACCGATAGTATTGAGTCGAACAACATTGCCGGTTCGTGATGCCAACCGATAGTATTGTGAACCGGTTCATCACCCAAGCTGGCAGTGATATTCCCATGATCACTGCCCGTTCATGGTTGCAACCGATAGTGTTGATTTGGGCAACACTATCGGCTTAGTACTTGAGCCGGCAGTGCTATGCCTATCATCACCAATGGTTTTTGGTGAACCGGTTATGATCTTTTTCGCATTTTGTTATCTAATGATTTATTTTATTATTTTTGTGTGGTACTTTATATTTTCTATGGTTACGGTAATGTAGACTAGACTCACATACATCACAAATCCATCAATATTTATATTACAAATGTTACGGTTACAATGAAAATGTACTTATCAAAGACGGTGACATTATCACAAATCCCTCAAGATCCCTATTACAATAGTATATCGAGCATCTCTTTATCAAATTGCTGTTTGTACTTCTTAGACCATGCAATGGAGAATGCTCCATCTTTAGTCAATACCTCATCAAAGATGAAGGTTGCTACCTCCTCTCTTGGAATCCTCTGATCTCAAAGTCTAACAGCTTTTAGTGGCCAAGTTTCTTCCGCTGTTGTTCAAGCAAGATGATGTAGAAATGCACAAATGTAAGATAAAATAGTAGATCGTTTCATTGAATTAACCGATATACATAAAATGTGAAGCATACACACCATTTCATCTCCTTCCTTTGTTTTCCCTCTGAGGCAATGGAGCATTGCCCACATTACGTAGAACCTGCATTCGTTGTTGGTCATCGGCTGTTCTAGGGTTTCCAATGCATATGATCAACCTCGAATGGGGTCTTCATGTCCTCGTCCATTTTTGCCTTGATATTGTGTCACATTATAAAGTGTGAAATGCGGCAACATTTGAATATGTTATGTGATTAGAAAATAATATATTATTGGGTTCACTTACTTATTTAGCAATGTAAGTCAGGGGTCGATCTGAGAAAGTGACCTTTTCTTCGAGTCCCACACCTTGATACATGATTATGCAAGTTTGGTATCTATAAGGACGAAATGGAAACTACAATCACAAAGTCCTAGTTAATGAATAATCTTTTAAAAAATAAGAAGCACAAAAACAAGGGCCAAGACCACGTACTCGTAGTTGTAGGCTTGGAGTATGTTCATTTTTTTAGAACTCAGTGAAGCATTTGGTCAACCTTTTTGTTAGATCTTTCACGTCACAGCCGTCATCGCCTCTGCATGTATTCTCATTTAGTTGACACGGGCCAAGAAGGCTATATGTTTCAAGAACCCAGTGAAGCATGTTTTCTCAAATGTTGAAGATGTAGTTGAGATAATATCGTGCGGATAGGGTACTTACATAGGTCCACAATATCATCATTTAAGGATAGGGTACTTACATAGGTCCACAACATCATCATTTAAGGATGTAGTGGACGAACTAAAATCCATATTTTTAATAAAATACTATTGATAGTCAATAAATAAGAGAGTTTAAAATTAACTTAAGGATATAGCAACTAATAAGTTCTAACTTTCAAAATGAAATATATAGATTCACAACATTATTATAAGACATGGGCTACAATGATAGTCACCACAACTTAATGTAAGGTTTCAATTAAATACATATTGAAGATGCACAAAAAATATGTACATGGATGAAAAACATATAGATTAATAATTGATAAGTTTATCATAACTCAGTAGAGATTATAGAGAATGTGTATATGTATGGGCATGTCTCCCTCACAGGTGACTAACGCTCGTCCTCGCCATGACGTCCTCCTCTCCCATGCCCCCGCCCTCCTTCTCGGTCCTCGCCCCGATGTTCTTCTTTCCTCCATTAGTTTCCTTGCCATCAACTATCATTGTGGTGTTTTGTGGCATACTACCTTCGTCAGCAGCTGCCGTTGAAGCCTCTTTCACCCTGTCCTTAGCACCAACCCCTTTTCCCGTGCTCCGCCCTCTCCTCTTCTCCCTTCTCGCCCAAAGCGTCTTCAAGATTCAGTCGTAGACTTCTTGGCCTATTCCCTTTTATGGGGAGGAACAAACTTCTTTAGTGGACTAATGACTTCTTGCTCTTCCCTGTCTTCACCACCCAATCCACCTGCTTTATCACTCCCCCTGCGCCAAGAGAGTAAGTCACTTCTGCTCGGATCATAATGACGTTGGCGAAGTCCCCCACTCCCTCTCTCCTCGTCCAAGCTAGTATTTGAACGCCATGATGAGCTTCTAGACAGTTTCTAACTGCCATCGTCCCATCTTCTCTTTTCAGAAATGTACCTTAGTTTCTTTGAGTATTGTTGTGTCTCCCCTTCTCCATGATCATCGCACAAGCTTTGTCAATGTGCCCTATTATCCCACATGTGTAACAAAACTCCACAAGGAACTTGTAAACGATAGGGCACCACACAGGATTGTCATCCTCCTCTTCCGTCAGGAAAATTCCATGCATCAAAGGTTTATTGATATTCAGTTTAACCTTGGTTAGCAGGAACTGCCCAACCGCCGAACCATTCTCATCTAGTTCCATCTCCACAAAAGAACCAACTTCATTCCCAATCACCATCCCCGTCTCCTTGTTCATCATGCCCAGCGACATACCTAAGGCACATAGCCAGATCGGCACGTGATCGAAGGAGATGTCCTTCACCCTCTTCCTTCCATCAAAGTCTACCATCACTATCAGATCCTTTCCAAAAACCCATGGACCATCCCCCAACGCCCTTCGCTTTCCTGTTGGCTGGTGGAAGGTGAACAGAAAGTGGTTTGATCCGAGGTCTTTGCAGTCTATACCGTGGATCGAGCACCATATATTCCCCAGCGCCTAAGCCGGCCCATCCATGTTCACCGGCCGATCTTCCAACACCTTCCCGGTCGCTTGTGATTTCGCCGATCGTGATCCACCAGCATTCCCCACCGACACCCTGATGCTTTTCTTCTCAGCCTCCGAAAGCTTCACCTTCTCCATCATTCCCTCAATGGTCTCCATCTTCCTTCCGTCCGCCTTGAATCACCCACCCTCCCTGGCAGGATCTACCCCGAGGTGGGATAAACCCTAACGAGGCTTAGTTGCGGCGTGACTACTAGTTAGCAGAGGAGGTTCAGCTCCTGATCGGAGGGATTTACGTGGGCACAAGTGAGGAATCGAATGTGGACTCAAATTCACATCGAAACAGGAACGAGGGAGAGAGAGAAGGAACCCTAACCACTGCACTATACCCTCTCGAGTCGCCATAGGCGCCGAGAACTCGAAGCTCCTGAAATTCTACTCTCACATAGGAATGAGCTAGAATGAAGCTAAAAATAGTAGCTTTTCACAGCTTCACCTCGTACTTGTGGGCCTAGTGTCAGTGTTTTAACTGAATTTGACCCATTGGGGGAGAGAGCACGGTGGCTAATCCCAACCTATGGCATGCAGGCCGTCTTTAAGCCTCCGCACAACAAAGCCTAGAACGCCTGTTTGAGCAGCCTATCAGCCACACGCTTCTCTAGCTTCTTCTTATATTGTCGAACCCGATACACAGTAGTCTACCCTTTGCGCCTGACAGGTTTCAATCTTACCTCTCCGTTTTCTCACACGACATGGCTGCTTCGAAGCTAAAAGCAAAAGCTGCTCTATTAGGTCAGTTTCAGTAGAGGTTTCATGATCATTAAATAAACTGACATATATAGTATCATTGAAAAGACTAAAATTTTCATAGGATGTAATAAGTTTCATGCTTGTCTATACTATTTTTATTTAATACATGAGTCTAGAAAATTAGGACATGAAACCTCACGCTAACCTGGCCTTAGATATTCCGTTGGTTTCTTTTTTTTAATGTATGTTATCGTGTTGAATTAATGAGACGTTTATTATAACACATCGTTTTATCGGGACATTCTGTGTTGTGCTCGCTCGTCCAAACTTTTGACACCAAATGGATGGATGGATGGATGGAGGAATCCAGAAAAAAATCCGAGAAGCTCCTGCCACCAGCACTTGATTCCTGCAAGTCGGCAAGCCGCGAGAACCTCAAACATTCTCTTCGCCCTGCCTTCCTGCCTCCGCTAGTCCGCTGCGCTGCCACTCCCGTCCTTTCTCAGGCGTCACTGACCAGCAGGCCCCACGGGCTCGGCCCCCTGCTCCGCTTCGCTTCCGCCTTCCGGTGACAAGCGAGTGACCGATCTACTCCGACCCACCCACCACCCACCGCACCACGCGAGATCTCTCGCCACCAGGGCAGGCTCCCTCCTATGGATCTCCGCAGCCTCGCGGTGTTCGCGGCCGCGCTCGCCGCCCTCGCCGCCGGGTGGTGGGCCCGCAGCGCGGAGGCGTCGATCCATACCTACGACCGGGAGCCCTTCCGCGAGGTGGGCAACGCCTTCCTCCTCTCCGGCGGCAGCGAGGGCATCGTCGCCGACGGGGCAGACCCCGCCGCCCCGCCATCCTCCTTCATCAAGTGAGGAACTATCTCTCTCTCTCTCTCTCTCTCTCTCTCTCTCTCTCTCTCTCTCTCTCTCTCGACCCCACGCCCGCCTCCCCCCTCCCTCCCTCTCCGTCTTCGGATGGCTGGAGAACGCAGTGTTTGGCCGTAGTTTCTAGAAGCTGGTTTGATGCTAGAGCTAAGGAAACGGTGGAGTTAGAGCGCGCCACTGGAATGGGAACTGGTTGCTGGAGCTGACGCTGCTCTGCTTGCTTGGTGCCACATTTGGTGGAAAGGTTCTGCTCCTGGGTAGTGATCAGTATGTGATTGGTAGTGATCAGTATGTGATTCGTTGTGGAATGTGCAAGGGGTTCGCGATGCTTTGGAAATTTGGGCTCGTGCTGAGGAGCTGGATGCAGATGGGTTTGTGCTGTGCTTAGCCTGTTTTAATTTGAGTGGTGCTGCCCACATTCATCTTACTTATGGTGGGGCTCGGCTGTTTGGGTTGTGTTAAACCAGCGCATTTTGGTTGTGTTTTATGGCTGCCTTTTTACTTTGTGTTCAACATGTACTTACCTATATTGCCTACCACATTGAACCAGAGCAAGCTTTAATTTCATTGATCTTTCCTTCTTCTTTTTTGTTGTTGCATTAGCCACTGATTTGGAGAATTCCATCCCATTTGTGTACAGTTATCCTTTCAACGATCACAAATAGGCTTAAATTTGTACAATTGACTTTACTAATTGGCTACTTTTGTAAGACTTAAACCATGTGGTGTGGTGCTGAATTTGATATACTAAATGCCCTGTCTTACTCTCTCAGGTTTGTGAATGTTACATTTTGGAGAACCCCAGAAGCTGCGGAATCACACACAAAAATGGCACATAGTACGGGCTTGGTACAGGCTATACTATTTGAAGCTGCAGACAGGGATAACATTGGGGGATCTGCCTATGGCGGACAGAGGTCCATATGTTGTACCCCGGACCTTGCTAAACTAGAGGGCTGCAAGCAAGGGGAAGTAATCAGGAGGCCGTCCTCTGATGATCCAGATTGGCCCTACGTGCTAGACACGCACTTCAGCGCTAATCACCTTTCAGTGAAGTTAGAAGATGAGCCAATGCGCATTACAAAGACAGGCATGTACAACTTGTTCTTCATATCCTGTGATCCAAAACTGAGAGGCCTTACTATGAGTGGGAAGACTATCTGGAAGAATCCTGGTGGGTACCTACCGGGACGAATGGCTCCTTTGATGAAATTTTATGTTCTCATGTCGCTGGCGTATCTGTTGGTAATGATTGTTTGGTTTAGCCAATACATAAGGTTCTGGAGGGATATATTGCCTATCCAGAATTGGATCACTCTAGTCATTGCACTTGGTCTGTTTGAGATGACACTATGGTACTTTGAATACTTGAACTTCAACAGCAGTGGTGTGCGGCCAGTTGGAATCACAACTTGGGTGGTCACTGTTGGAGCTATCAGGAAAACAGTTTCGCGTCTACTCATCCTTTCTATCTCAATGGGTTATGGTGTTGTTCGTCCAACTTTGGGAGGTCTCACTTCCAAGGTCTTGCTACTCGGACTTACATATTTCCTGGCGTCTGAGTTGCTGGACATCGCAGAAAATGTTGGAACAATTAATGATATATCAGGCAAAGCAAGGCTTTTCCTGGTCATTCCTGATGCATTTTTGGATGCTTTTCTCATACTTTGGATTTTCACTTCTCTTTCCCGCACTCTAGAGAAGCTACAGGTAAGCCAATTTAGTGTAGTTTAACAAGTAGAAGCATTTCTATTTGTCCTTTCTTTTTGTAAATTCATACATAGACTTTGTGTTCCACAAATGTTAGTACTTCCACATGTAACGCAGTAGTCCTTTGTTATTTCAGGAAATGTGGCTAATTTAGATATGCCATAGTGATTAGTATGCTAGAAATTCTTAATACTTGTATTAAGGATGAAGCATGTATTCATGAATAGTGCAAGTAGGACAGCCTCTTGAACTGTTACAAATTGTTAGGAAGCCTGTTAAATCTAGATGAAGAATTGTGTCTTTGTGTTGCTTCTTAAACTTGCTACTTTTCTCGTTCATCAGGCAAGGAGGAGTTCCGTGAAATTGGATATATACAGAAAGTTTACAAATGCATTGGCTGTTTCTGTGATAGCTTCAGTTGCCTGGATTGGTTATGAGGTATGTAAATATCTCTAAATAAATCCATAGTGAACATTATGTCTGTACAGGAACATTTGGGTGCATTTCTTCTAACAACATAAGATTATCTTGCTGCCTTTTGGTCCATTGAATTGCTGTAAGATCAATGAATATCCAAGTTTTTCGTTATCTTTATAACGTCCTGAAGTTGTGCCACTCAAATACGAGGAAATGAGTTGACCAATGGACTTGGGATTTTTTTTTTCTTATTCATGTATAGGGATATATTTGATTGTTACTTTTTCACTGAATTCAAAATAGTGATCTTTTATTATTCCAAATATTTTCTCAAAGAAACGCTTCTGCCATTGAAGGAAAAATATCACCATCAACATGTCACTGTTACACTTTTAGCAGATTTCCTTAGGTTTCAGTTTTAATACTGACTTTAAATAAACTAATGATTATGCTTTAAACAAGTTTCTGCTGTCCACAATATTGCAAATTTGCAATGGCTGGTCTTGTGCCACTCTGGATCAAACTACTTAGGAGAATAGTCATTGTGCTAATATTGGACATTGAATAAAATTGTGGTATATCTTTTTTTTTGCGCATAAAAATTGTGGTATATCAACATGTTTCTGTGATTAGAATAGTCATTTTATTCTCATCTTATTTTCCTGTGTGTTCAAGAAAAGTACTCCCCATGTTATTTATTTCATTGAAATCATCTTTACCTGAGGAGCCAATTCATAAGAATAAGATATAGTGATCTAGACTAATAGCTAAGACCCTCTTTTTTAGTGAGCTTTCTCTCAAAGTAATATGCTACTCCCTCTATTCCAAATTATAAGACGTTTTGGCTTTTCTAGATACATATCTTTTGTTATGCACTTAGATATACACTAGGTCTAGATAAATAGTTAAAGCAGTGTATCTAGATTCTAGAAAAGTTAAAACGTCTTATAATTTGGAACGGAGGGAGTATTTGCTACCAAAACCAATGGCATCAAACTAATTGATGAATGGTATGCAAGTTTTACCACCACCAAAGGCATGAAACCAATTGTGAATGGCATGCAGGTTTTGTCCAATGCATGTGTCAGTATTATTCATAGGCTGTTGGATTCGTTGAAGTTATTCTGATTCATGAGCATCTATGATCAAACAATTTTTCTGCATATACATAAACCTCTGAAGTTTCCGTACAAGGAGATAACATAGTTTCCTTATTAATTGATGATATTTAAACTGGCATAATTTATTTGAAATTTCTTTTTTGAGAATCTTCAGTTTTGAACCTTGTAGATTTGAATCACCTATTTGTTACTGTTGACTCATTTTGTAGGTCTATTTTAAAGCGACAGACCCCTTCAGTGAGAGGTGGCAGAGTGCCTGGATCATAACTGCCTTCTGGGATGTTCTTGCGTTTGTGTTGCTTCTTGTGATTTGTTATCTGTGGGCACCATCCCAAAGCTCACAAAGGTAGTTCTCTTTCATTTTCAATGCGATGCATAATCTAGCTGGTTGCCGGTAGCTTCTTGCCTTACCATATCATCCATGAAGTGCCAAACAATTACCAACTTCATCAATAGAAAAATAGCAGCTGTTCTATGTGTATGGACTGCTCCGTAATCATTATGCCATTTCTTTGTTCAGATATGCATATTCAGGTGAAGCTGCTGACGATGATGATGAGGAATCTCAATCTCTGACGAAAGGAGATGGTGAAGTAGGGATGGTAAAGATTGACAAGGACAGAACCGCTGGTGTTAGTGGTGCTTTCAGCTTAGAAGATGAGGCTGAGGAGGACAAGCGGGAATAGCGATTTCTTGTTCCTGATGCCCAGGTCCCAGAAACAATTGAGATATTTTGGAGCAATAATGTTCCAAGAATACTTCTTTTCCTGTCTAATTGTTGGCGGTCCAATCTCCACTGCCCATCTGTTCCAAAGTTGCATATGGTGGTTGTAGAAGTTCTTTGGTGGTCCAGCCTCCAATGCCCTTCTGTTCCAAAGTTACATAAGGTGGTTGTAGAAGTCTCCAATGCCCTCCTGTTCCAAAGTTACATAAGGTTGTTGTAGAAGTGCGATTTTATCCGTTCCTGTGAGGCATATGGTTCGGGTTTGATGTAGACCTCAGATAGGCCAAGGTGTTGCAAATTATTTATAACAATGTACATAACTGTTTTGTTTGCCGGTTTTACATTTTCTGATGCATAATCACATTCTGCACCAAATTGTTGAGCGAAGAATTGACAGATTCACTTCCAGGACTGGAAGCTCACATCCAATTGGAGAATCAAAAACTGACTACTACTGATCAAGTCAAGGAAAACTCACTATCAATTTATGATTACACGAAAGTTTAGTATGTAAAAGTTTTTCAGAAGTGTCTGGCACAAACATTATCCCCCTGTTTTAGGCCGAGGTCGGACCTTATCGTCTATATACATTTGATTATGCTTGTCAGCTTTTAAGACCCTACTACCCACCTGTTCTGCACTATTGTCACAGCTATGAAAATGATGGCATCACCATTTCATGTGCCCTTACACACTCAAATAGTCAAATCCAATGCAGTACAATGCCACCTTCGACAGTGAGAGTGTTATCTTTACAATATATTACAGGTACAAACTCCCATGAACTCAGCTTTGGACACCAAAATTAGTTTTGAGCAAACAGAACTTGATTCAATCAGCGCCAAGGGATTGACCATTCTTGGTGATAAACTCGGCAGAATTCTGCTCGGCCCATACAGCTGCGTCCAGGTACCCAAGCTCGTATAATTTGTCTAGGGTTTCATCTTCAGCAGGTTCCAGAGCCCAGTTAAACAGCTGCAGTAGGTTTAGAGGGCATTTGAGAACAAAGTACAACAGTCAGCAATAGACCATGGAATTGAAGTATGTAAAAGTTGAAAAAATTGAGTCACCTGTCTTGGACTAGCCCTGTTCTCTGGATTGCAGTCTGGACTGATCCCAATATCTTGCAATCCCAGACGGCTGGCTGGAAAAGCACATATTCGGACCTACAATGGTAGGCAGATAAGTAATGAGCACCACAGAACAAACAGATAGTATGGTACATATCATGTATTCATGTATCATGAAATGGAACTATGTGCCACCAGTGGTACAATATGCTGTTTGTCTAATATGATTTTGCCAGTCACATACATTAAGATTAAGCATCAGAATTGCAGAAACCAAAAGGCACATACTGTTTCTGCAGCAGAAGTGGGCGGCATAAACAATGTAAGGCCCCCATCGATGCAGAGCCTATTACGGAAGAAAGTAGCTGGTCTGGGTGCTAAGTACCTGAAATGAGAACAAGATGGTTATTTAACTTGTAATCAAAATATAACTACAGATACATAAACAGATAGGAAAGAAAATGCTAGCTGATCTTACCCAGGAATAAAGGAGGATGTAATGACTGCATTAATGACATCATCTTTGGAGTCAAATTGGTCCACCAGCAAGCCCCTAGGCCTCCAGGATAGCTGAGTAATAGCAACTGTATGAGAAGAATATAAGTTTTCTCAAAATGGCAAAAACGAGTTACTTCCCATCAAGAACAAAGCGCATATCTAGTATGGAGAGGCAGTGCTTGTAAAAAATATTAAGCTTACCACGAATTCTTCCATTGCACCTAATGTGAAGATCATCTGGGAGAAACTCGTCAAGGACATCCTTGAGTACAGCCTACACAAGCAAACAGAATTACAGGGTTAAAACCAAATAAAATTGAATCTGCTAAGTGCTAACACAGGACTGCTTAGTAACTGGATATCAAATGTCATCTGCAACATAACCTAGAGGAATTCAAAGTAAAAATGGGAACACATACCCCAAGGCGAAACGCAGTGCCTTTACTCCGGCAGTTGTCAGCTAGAACTTTGGTCACCTGCAGAGCATCTTGCATTGTGTTCCCAGATGCGATCACTGCACAGATTATGGCACCAGCTGATGAGCCAGCTAACGGAGTTTTCTCCTAATATAAATTCCGGAAAAACAAAATCATTATAAGGAGGGCTGCACAACATAAACAGTAAGAGTGCATACTGTATGTCACACAAAATTCGTGAACCACATGGACACATGAGTTCCCATGCATAACTGTAAATGCAACATACAAACTAGCTTGAGACTGGCGGAGCCAAGGGGGGGCCATGGCCCCTCCCCCCTCCCCCCCACCCCCCCTAACAATACAAATTTTTTTATATATAATATACATAGTAAATAGTCTATGTTTATATTAAAAGAGTATAATAAAGAAAATCTTGTTATAATACTTATATTTTGATTTATGTAAATTTATTTGCCTACCATATTAGGATGTATCTATTAAATTTTTTGGTTTATTAAAATACTTATGTTTTATTATACTTCATATTTTTAATGAACGCGTATTTAACTTAGCAATATCAATTCGGTGACTAATTCCAGAAAAATAGGAGCCTAATTCCGAGATAAAGATCTAAACAAATAAGCTGCACTCAATTCTCATATTTTGAAATTATTTGACCGGCCCCCCCTTATGCATAATTCTTGGCTCCGCCACTGGTCCCAAGAGACGAAGAAGCTACTAAACTAAAGAAATATATGCCAGACTCAACCATTATTGCTCTATACTATGCTAAGTTGTTGGCTGCAATGTGCAATTTTGTCAATCTTGTTTGCAAAGACACTCCACAACTTGTAAGCACAATATTGACAGTTCATCTTTTCAATCTTATCAAAAGCTGTAATGCATCATTACAACATCAGATAGGCATGCGCACGGAAGAGATTAATATGAGATGCGGGGGTAAGCTTACGGTGATGTATCCGCGGTCCATAAGGCACTGCGCGGCGCCGAGGTGGTAGGGGAAGAGCAGCCCGGCCGCGGAGAAGCTGAAGCCGGGGCTAGTGAGCTCCCGCCGCGCCCGCTCCGCGTCCACGTCCTCGGGCCGCTGCTCCCACACCACCCTGTCCCTCGTCTCCACCTCCTCCACCGCCGCCGCCCCGCCCGTGCGCCTGGCCCCGGCCCCGCGCAGCAGCAGCGCCGCCAGCCCCAGGAACAGCTCCCCCGTCCTGACGGCCAGCGACCTCCTCTCCTCGACCGCCGGCGCCGGCTCGGGGTCACGCCGCGCCGCGGCGCGCGCGAACAGGAGGCGGAACCGGGATTGGCGCGCCGCTGCGGCTGCGGCTTCGGCGAGCGGGGTAGCGACTGGAGCTGGCGCGGGAGGTGAGTGGAGTAGGGGGGGGAAGAGGGGAAGGGGATGAGGGAGGCCATGAGGCGTTCTCGTCGGCCGCCGGCGCCCGCGCCACCGACGCGAGTGCACGCGCGAAGCATACGAGGCGATGCTGCGACCGGTGAGGGTGCGGGGCTCCGATGGATACATCTGCGTCGTGTACCTCGTGGAGAAATCGGATCGAATCGAAGCAAGAAAAAAATAGAAAAAGACGACAGGGACATAGGAGTCCATTTATTTGACCCGTGTCCGTGTCACCCTTTTCCTCCAAGCGTACGTTGCTCCCGCTCAGTCGCTCACGGCCCACGGCACGGGCCATAAGTTCGATGGGCCCGAGTGCACGTGTCGCTTCCCCATGGACAGCGTCCTGGTTTGCTGACATTTGAGGTGTTGATCAGTGGGTTGTTTGGTTACTCCTCCTAAATTTTAGTAGCTATGTCATCGAATGTTTGGACATATGCATGGAGTATTAAATATAGACTAATTACGAAACTAATTACACAGTTTACGACTAATTTGCGAGACGAATCTTTTAAGCATAATTAGTTCATGATTTGATAATGTGGTGTTACAATAAACATGTGCTAATGACGGATTAATTAAGCTTAAAAAATTCGTCTCATAGAGTACTGATGGATTATGTAATTTGTTTTTTTATTAGTATCCGAATATCTCATGCGACATCCTCATTTGACACCTCCTAAATTTTAGTCACCGAATCAAACACCCCTTAGTTTGATCTTTAGTGTAGCCAATCCCAACTCCATCTTCGTATCCATAGAATTTAAACCTTGTATACTAGCAAATAACGTTAGTCTCATTGACCATATTATCATACGACCACCAAAACACTTAATGAGTGTCATTTTTCCTTACAATGAGGATGGTATACTTAGTGCGAGTATGCAACTGGGTTGTTCCAATTGTCAATTGTTATATAGGAGCATATTCTAAGACCATGAGAGTACGACATAACAGAGCTTGAGTCACTTCATAGTGCTAGTTTGTAGTTGTAGCTTATATTCGACGATTGTTTCATGAGGCATACTTTCATCCTTCTTGTTTAGAAGAACTATGCATGGATGAAACAGTTGACATGGCGCGATATACTCAACCTAAAAACACCAGAAATGTGCATTCTCTCCCTCCAGAAACGAAGCAAAATCTAGGTTTAAGGTATTTCAAACATTCTTAAGTTTGACCAAGTTTATAGAAAATAATATCAACATTTATATTTTCAAATGGGGTTCTTATGCAAATATATTTCATAATTAACCTATTGATAATTATTCGGTATCATAAATGTTAATTCTTTTTTTATAGATATGGTGAAACTTGAATATATTTGGCTTTTCGGGGAGCAAGAATTGTATATTTTTTAAGGACACATATTTAAGAAATACTACTCCATCCCAAATTGTAAGACGTTTGACTTTTTTTTCTCCAAGTTTGACCACTTGTCTTATTCAAAAAAATTATGCAAATATAGTCAAATTTAAGTCATTCTTGAAGAATTTTTATTAATAAACCAAACCACGACGAAAGAAGTGATATTTTACACAATTTTTTGAATAAGACGAGTGGTCAAACTTAATGTCAAAAAAGTCAAACGTCTTACAATTTATGATGAATTGAGTAGCATTTTTTCGGTGGGAATCATTTGACTCTCTTGGATGCCAAGATTATTAGAATTGCGCGTAAGTTCACGAGTTGGCCATGTGAGTAAAATACCTAGTATAGTACTTTGCAGGAAGTATATGTACTAGTACGTTCATTATCATGGTAAACTATACCACGATGAGTTGACGGAACTGATTGGCTGAAGAAAGCCACGAGGAGGAGCAGTAGCACGAGCACGAGCACGAGCACGAGGCTCATGCCATGCCACCGTCAACGTCACTCTTCACCGCAGGACCAGGACACTCCGCCCCACGCTTTTACAGTGCGCTGTAAATGCAGTACTCGGCCCTTGTTTAAGGCCTGTTTACAGTTCCCAAAAATTTTTACGTAGTATCTATCACATCGATTTTTACGGTACATGTATGGAGTACTAAATGTAGACGAAAAAAACTAATTACACAATTGGGTAAGAAATCGCGAGACGAAACTTTCGAACCTAATTAGCCCATAATTAGACACTAATTGCCAAATACAAACGAAAGTGCTACAGTAGCCAAAACCTAAAATTTTTTGCATCTAAACGTGCCCTTAGTTCGGCCAGAATCGTCATTTACACAATGTTTGATGCGACGGCAAACACTGTAGCAATTTCGTTTGTATTTGTGAATTATTGTTCAAACATTAATTAATTAGGCTCAAAAAATTCGTCTCGCAAAGTTTAACTAAACTGTGTAATTAATTTTTTATTTCATCTACATTTAGTACTCCGTACATGTACTGTAAGTTTAATGTGACGAGGAATCTTCTTTTTTATAGTGCCAAAGTCGAAAGTTTAGAGAACTGAACACCGCCTCGTAGTTAATTTTTTTTTTTTACTACCACCAGCTGGTGCTCCCGCCTCCCGAAACCAGTCAGATCCGCTCCAGTCGCTATCCACATGCCGAGCCAAATGGACACCCTCCTCTCCGGCACTGACTGCTCCGCGACTCCGCCGTGCCAAATATATACAAACACGACCACGGTCACCGCCGTGATCTGCTCCGCTCGTTGTCGTCGCCTCGCCTCGCCTCGGTCTCCACGGCCAGGCGCCGTGAAAGCCAGCCGACGACCAACAGTCCAACACCACGAGTCGGCCAGTCCCCTTCCCCGGTGACGTCCAAATCCAACGCGCAATGCCCCCGGAACCCGGTGGCCCGGTGTGGATCTCGTTTCGTCCAGCAGTGAGCAGCGGCCAGCTGTTGGTTTGGCTGGTTCATATCGTTACTGTTTTGTAAAGAAGTATTGTTGACTGGTTTATGTGAGAGAAAAATACTGTTCTAGCTAAAAATTTACGATCGTTTACGACAAGCCACAGTCAAACGAACATGCTAATGGTCTGGCTCAGGCAAAGTAGGATCGTCATTGTCTCTAACAATGTGAACCAAAAGTACGAGACTCATTTTAGGTTTAGACAGGTCTACAGCCAAAAGTTTTAATATCTATTTTTGTCTTTATTAACGAGACTCAAAAGAGAACCCTTTTTATAAATAGATCTACAGGAGAGATGATACTCAGATTTAAATTGTATCTCTCCTGGCGCCCAAAATAGATATCCTATATAGGTATTCTGTTGAAGGTCGATACAGTAGCATCGGAGACCCATTTTAGGTTTATGTGTCCTTATGGGTCACCTGTTTTTTTTTATCAGGTACAACTTGGACGCACACAATCCGCACACTCCACGCTCACCACACGTACAAGCACGTGTGTGTCCATACCACCGAATGCGCACGCGTGTGTACCCTAAAATTTTTTAAAAAATTCCACAAAAAAGATACGAACACCAGGGTTTGAACCCTGTTAGGTAACGTCCTGTCCTTATACCACTGGCCCATTCGCTTATGGATCACCTGCAATAGCCTCGGGATGGGCCGGTGGGGGGTGGGGAGGGACACCGCCGACGTAGGCCTATTCGCTTGATCTTATCAGCTAGAATCTATAGTTTTTTTCTTTCATATAAAAACAGCTTTAACCGACTTATCAGTCGATTTTAATATCAGCCGAACAGACCCGCAAACGCAGCGCAAATGCCACGCCGACGCCGACACAGACCCGCGGCAAGCGTTCTCTTCTAGAGACGGACGAGACGAGGAGCTTGTTCCTCGTGTGCTCGACAAACTCGCAATAAACAAGACAAGCTTTGACCACGTCCGGAACATGGGATTTCTTCTTTCACCCAACTTCTATGGTCGTTTCCTCTGAATTCCTGCAGATTTTTTTTGAAGCATTGTCCTACTATTTTTAGTGGAAGGCAATGTCCTACTAACACGACGACACAGTGATTTCAGTTCTCTGGACGAAATCCATGCGTTACGCAACTCGGTAAAAGAGGCCCAAATCTGCCCACTCGTTAAAACAAAAGAGGTCCGAATCCCCGACGGTATGCGTACTAGGACACCCAAATCCAAAATGTACAGTACAGCACACACTGACTAACGCCTGTTCGCTGGACTTATAAGGGATGTTTGATCGCTATCCCATCAGATGTTTGAACACATATATGAAGTATTAAATATAGACTAATTATAAAACTAATTGCATAATTTACGATTAATTTACGAGACGAATCTTTTAAGACTAATTAATCCACGATCTGACAATGTGGTACTACAATAAACATGTGCTAATAATGGATTAATTAGACTTAATAAATTTGTCTCGTGGAGTATCGATGGATTTTATAATTTATTTTTTTTATTCAAAAATGTTATACAACACATACATTTTAGAAAAAAAACATATAGATTTTTTTTATCTACGACGTCTGAGGCCCGCCTGTAAATGCAGCGGTGTCCCGTCGACGCCGCTCCTGCAGACATCCACCTACTACAGCGTGAACCTGGAGAGCATCTCAATCGGCGCCGCGACGACGGCCAGAACCGGAAGCAGCGGCATCATCTTCGACTCCGGCACCACGCTGACGTTCCTCGCGGAGCGGGTGTACACGCTGGCCAAGGCGGCTGTCCTGTCGCAGACGGCGAACCTCACCATGGCCCCCAGCAGGGACGGGTATGAGGTCTGCTTCCAGACATCCGGCGCCGTCTTCCCGTCCATGGTGTTGCACTTCGACGGCGGCGACATGGATCTGCCGACGGAGAACTACTTCGGGGCGGTGGACGACACCGTCAGCTCCTGGATCGTGCAGAAGTCGTCGAGCCTGTCCATTGTCGGAAACATCATGCAAATGAACTATCATATCCGGTACGATGTGGAGAAGTCGATGCAAATGAGCGTTGAGCCCCGTGCGGTGACGTAGACTGTTCGCATGCTTGTAAACGATATTAAATTTTTAGTCGGGAACGGTGTTTTTCTCTCATACTAAATTAGCCAGCAGTAAATAATCCACGATCGTTTACGGCTTCCCGAACAGACTCATGGTCATGAGCAGCCATGTGTGATTTGTCTTTCCATAGAAAAAAATTATTTCTCGTAATCTATGATTTTGTGATTGTCTGAAGGTACAAAAAGGTTAGAGGCTAAAGGTAGAAAAAAGGTGAAAACTGTTGGATCTTAATTTTATGGTGTAAAAAAATTTATATGTTAAAACTACATAAAACACATGGTTACGTGACAGACAGACTCTTTTTTATTAATATTCGAACACTGACACCCTCGTGAAACTCCTGCTAAAGTTTAATCATAAGATCAAACACCTTCTAAATCGTATTTTTTTTAGTTAACTAACCGTATTTTTTTCTGGCGACTAATCAGCCAAACGGTACTTTAGCCGGGGCTATCAGCCCAGCGAAGGGCTGACACTCTGATACTCTGCATTCATAGTTTTGTCTCATTTAATTTAGCCACCACAGTTGACAAACCCACCACCCACCGTCCACCGACGGTGCCGTGGCCATCCATGATCCATCAGTGCGCGGCGGGGTAGTCGAACGGCAGCGGCGTGACGCTGTCGCTGAGCGGCGCGGCGCGGCGGAACCCGTACGCGCGGAGCACCTGGTCGTCCGCGAACGCCAGCGCGCGGCGGATCCCCTCGGCGCACCGCCTCCGCGTGTACATCCGGTTGGGCGCGCCGCCGCAGGGCTGGCACCCCGTGAAGTGCGTCACGAACGGGCGGCGCCACCCCTTCTGCCCGCCGCCATCGGGCCCGGGGACGCCGTTCCCATCGCGCCGCCTCACGGCCTCGCGCCGCGCCGCCGCGTACAGGAGGTGCTCGCGCTCCGCGTGGCGGCGGCGGAGCCCGAGCCCGGCGCGGGCCGTGCGCTCCACAGCCTCGTACCGCGTCGCGACGCCGTCGAGCCGGTCCACGATCTCCGCCCAGTACCCCTGGAAGTAGTACCCGGACTCGAGGAACGTGGCGTTGGCCCACCGCACCCGCTCCGGGTGCCTGGACAGCAGGTACACGAGCGCCGACTGGTCGTCCGACTCGTCGTTGGGCTTCCCGTCCAGCTCCTCCCGCAGCGTCTTCCCCCACCGCGCGTACTCCGGCGACGGCGGGCCCATGCGCGCCCACGCGTCCATGAGGTCCAGCGACCACTGGCAGTTGCGGATGAGGAACACGCCCGCGTTCAGCCCCACCCACGACGGCCTCTCCTCCGCGTACACCTCCCGCTCCCACCCGTACACCACCAGGTTGTGGCCGTGGCGGTTGTAGCGCGCCAGCGGGAGGGAGAAGTCCATGTCCGTGAACACGGCGTCGGCGTCCACCCACCACACCCACTCGGCGTCCGGGTGCGCCAGCATCGCGGCGCGCACTGCGGGGATCTTGGCCCAGTACGCCACCATGGACGGCTCCAGCAGCGCCGTGTTGTAGAGGAGCTCGATCCCGTGGAGCCGGCAGTAGTCCAGCTTGTTCTTGAGGAACCGCAGCAGCGCGTGGTCGCCGCCGGCGCCCTTGCACGGCTCCGGCTGCGACCCAGTCACCATCACCACCCGCCCCGCCACCGCCGCCGCGCCGTCCAGGCCCCGCGTCCGCAGCCACGCCGCGCGGTTCGCGTCCCAGTCTGTGATGACGCGCCGCCGCCACCGCCGTTGCCCCGCCCCCGCCCCCGCCCCCACCCCCACGGCGTACGACAGCTCCGGGTCGTCGTAGAACGTGCGCGGGCCCTTCCCGACGGCGGCCACGGCGGCGGCGGCGTCCGAGGCGGGGGAGGAAGAGGCGGCGCCGGCGTTGGAGGACGACGACGGCACGGGGACGGAGACGATGTTGGGCACGGGCGGCGGCGCGAGCACGGAGGACGAGGAGAGGAGCACGAGCGCGGCCACCACGGCGCCCGCCGCGAACGCCAGCCCCTCGCGGACCCGCCCCGCGGGGAGCGCCAGGTGGCCGTGCGGCCTCGGCGCGCCCCCGCCGCCGCTGCCGCCCTTCGGCACGGACTCCGACGCGGCCATGGCGAGGTTCGTTCGCGCGTGTGGGTGTGGGTGTGGCTGAGGAACTGGGAAGTGTGCGGCACAAGGCTAAGCTCGGGTTTCTAGGCGGGGGGGCAAGGCCAACCAAAGGCCAAAGGCGGGTGGCGCGGCGCGAGGGCCGGGGGTGGCTCTCCTTTTTGACGGGGCGAGACGGAGGAGAGAGTGAGCTGTGAGCTGTGAGCAGCGTGATGCGAGAGGAGAGCGAAACGGGGGCCGGGGCGGGCAGGGCGCGGCTGCAGCGGCCGAGGAAGCGGTGGTGGTTCCTGCTGGATAAAGCGCGGGCTGCGGATGAATAGGTGATGGATGCACTGAGCGCGTGTTTAGTTCTACGAATTTGTAATTTGGGGCTTCTGTAGCATGTTTGTTTTATTTGGTAATTAGTGTTTAAATATGGATTAATTAGGCTCAAAATGTTTGTCTCGCAATTTCCCACCAAACTATGCAATTAGTTTTTTTTCGTCTACATTTAATACTTCATACATAGACCGTAAACATTCGATGTAACAGGTACTGTAACACTTTTTGGAATTTTGGGTGAAACTAAACAAGGCTGATGCTGCGGGTCGGCAGGCAGGCGGCCGGGCGCTGTGGCAGCCAGTGTCGGCCGCGGCCGGGCAGGCGGGCACATGCGAGCGCCGTGCCGCGCGGTTAGCGAGGGGACGCCGTGTGAGCTCGTGACGGTGCGGGGCGGCTGGGGCCCCGGATCCGGATCGGGCCTGGGTTTTTCGGAGTTTTGGGGTTTTCGCCGGCGCGGGGTTCGGGATGGACACGGCGCCACGGCCACGTTCGCCCTTTGCCGTCGGCTGACACCGCGCGATTTCTTTTCAGAGACACAGCGCGCGCTGTGTTCCGCTCCCTCTGTCGTAAATAAAATATTTAATTGACGAGTCAAACAATTTTAACTTAAACTTAATACATATAAAACATATTAATAGTTATTATACTAGATAACTATCATTAGATTCATCATATCCTATATCTTTTTAGTAATTTTTTAAGATACAGATAGTAATATGAGTTTTTATAAACTTAGCTAAAGTTATGATATGAACGATATAATTAACTTATTGCCATTACGAGGAGGTGGGTGTCAAAATGATTTGCCACTGGTGAGAGGAATGGATGTGAGAGGGGATAAGTGCCACCCCTCTAATGATCAATGGCAGAGCGTGGTGCCAAATTGGTTTGACAGTTTAAGTCTATGTCTAACAAAATAGCACTATTTCTACATATCAGTTACAGGCGCTGATAAGCACAGATCAAGATTCGCAGTGGCCAGCGCATGGAGGAAGGGGGGCAAGCGCCCAACTTCGCCTCCACCACCCTCCGCTAATGCTAATGATGGCAAAAGCTTAGGAGTATATAATGCTAGATATTAGATAGAAACTTCTTGTTGATTTGGATACCATGGTATTACAGTAGCCATTTTAGCACATAATTCCTGACCAAAGTTCAAAACTATGCATAGCGAGCGGCCTAAAAGGAAGGATACCAATATATATTTACAAATTACAATTACATCCCTATGACGCACGAGCATAACCATGGGCAATAGGGTGGTGAAAAAAAATACAATTATAGCCATGCGTGATTCTTTTTCAATAATCATGAGGAATTGGGAATGTGATGGTTACAAATTAAAAATTGGATATTGGTTTAGTAGATATTTGCATTTTAAGTTTTATATTCCAAAAATCCCGATGCATGTGCAACCAATAGCAACTTGAAACCTCGTTTTGAGCGGCATGGCTTTGCAGCCGGCTAAATTGGGGGCACGATATGATAGCCAGCTTGATTGCGCTGCGGCATTTGACTGTAGCTGGCGCGCCGAATTTTCTTGGACTAGCCAAAACTTCAATTTGTTCTGAAACTAAACAGTGTCAAACTGTACGTTAAGATAGGTTAAAATTTTGTATGGTTGACTCTGACCTGCAACCAAGCATATCCTACTCCTAATTGTACCGACGATGAAGATGAACAACTCGTGGCCTCGTGCCGCAAGAACACCACAAAAGCTGGCACGAGAGGGATATCATGGCTACGACTATATCGTCTTGCACGTATGTGCGCAACCACATCGACCAGCCGATGCAATCGGCTAATAGGTGAGAAAAATAAAAAAACCTTCAACATTTCTACTGATCGGCACAGCAGACTCCCTACACATATATTATTCAACATAAGATTTTTACTACACATATCAATAACTATTATATTATTTAGTTTCAAAAGACATAAGTTATGGGTCTATTCGGTTATGCTTGCTGCAGCAGCGCTGCTGCTTCTACAGCAAGCTGAGTGAACATTGTTCATTCATTGAAGAATGAAAGCCACAGCTGCTAAAAAAAACACAGAAGCGAACATGCCCATATATATGTGTAGAATCTCCTGCATATAAAAGAATTAATTAAAGAATATATTAAAAAAACAGTGACAAAAAATTCGTATCAAGACCATGCAAAGTCATATGTGTAAGTATTTTAACTAGACGAGGTATACAGTACCGGAGGAAAGATCTTGAGAAGATTGGTGTCCGAAAGCTCCTAAACCTCGTCACTAAGTACAAGTTGTAATACACGACAAATCCTCTACGTACAGCAGTAGACCTACACCCTATCTCACAGCCATATGAGCTGAGGAAGTCACCTACGGACTTGGTTCTCCACGGCCCACGGCCACATAGCACTGGCTACTACGTACTGTGGATACGATAGGATGACGCAAACTAAAAGCCACCACCTATAGGTCAGGTCAGAGATCGTTCGAGTAGGCAAAAATAACCAATAACTAGAGACCGTACCAAAATATCCGGAACCAAAAAAAAAATCGGTTCCGGATTCATACTAACCAAAATAATTATGGCCAGTTTAGCTCTGGACTCGGTTAACCGAAAGAACCAATATACGAGGTCTTCTAGCTAGAAGGCCCACGAATAGTCGTCGCTGCATCAATGAGTTTTTTGCCAACGGTACCGGATGTTCCAATGGTAGAAGCTTATGCAGTGAAGGAAGGATTGAACTTGGTGAATCATATTGGCTGTAGAAATTTCATGGTGCAGTCGGGCTGTCAAGCAGTGGTCTTGACATCACGAGGGAATCAAGTTGCTAATTTTTGAGGAGTGCTACAGTATATGGATGGATTTTCTAATGGCTACGATTGAGCATTGTGATAGAGAAGCGAATCAAGTTGCTCATGAGCTAACTTGTCCACCCTAACAAGTTCAAACCCCCTAACCTCACATAGTCACACTGACCAATATGACCACGGTCAGGATAGAAAGTGTTATCGATAGCTTATACAATATGTTCCAAGCAAGACCAAATGATAATGCAGTTTTCTTCCTAAATCACAGGATTTTGATGTAAATACTGCTGTCGCTTCTCCATTTTAGTGTCTTATTAGGGAACCCATGCAGTTAAGTGTTACTTTCAACAAACATGAATATACAACAACAACATAACACTAGACACAATCAAATATAAGACAGCAACATGTCAATACAACTGAAACACTAGTAATAGCAAAGACATAATGAACATACCATGCCAATTCGTTACTCACATACTCAACAAATGCTTAGAGGATACTTCTGTTATGACGGGCCTCCAGTACAACCGGTGACAGCCAGCCAGTGGCTAAGAAGGCACCGCATGGGCTGGCCTAGGACCCGGATCAGTTTCTATTTTTTAGGAGATCAGTTTCTATTTTTAGGAGAGAAGAGATTATATATATATAAGCTGTAAGACACTTTGAGGAATTAAGCAAGAGCAAACCTAATTGCTCGGCTTCCTTTAGGGAGCCGGGAGATCCCAGAAACCCGCATAGCAGCCACAACTCTTTCCCTTCGCGCGTCCCTGTCTCTCTCGCACGAGGAACCACGGCGCCTCGCCGCCGTTCGTCGTCGTTCAAACCTCGCCCCTCCATCTCCCACTCGTACAACTTGCGATCGTTCCAGGGTAGGAGTCGAGCTCCTATCAACCTAGTATCAGCAGTCTCAGGTTCGATGTCGACTTCCCATCCCTCGCCAGCGGTCTCTGCATCCTCGCCCACCACCGCTGCAACCACCGCGCCCCTGTCCTCGTCGTCCTCGGCCCTCGTCATGGCGTCGGGCCCGATCGCGCCCTCTGCCGTGGCTCCGGCGTCCGTCATGTCCGCCGAACAGATGACGGCGGCCATACTGGACCTGGGACGGGCTATGGCGGGCATTCATGCCTTCCTCGCTGGTCCGCACGGCCCGCAACCGCCGCCCCAGCCCCTGTTTCCACAGCAACCGGTGCTCCCGCTGCCCTACAGCCAGCAGGTCCTGCCGGCGCCGCCGCTGTCGTCCGTCCAGCTCGCGTCGTTGGCGCCACCCCTACCGGTGCCACTGTCTACGGCTGGGTACATCTACGGCATGCCCCACGACGGCGCGACCTCTTCCGCAACACTGATCGCGCCGCCGCCTCCGCCCCGCGGCGTGCCGATCACCCAAATTCAGTTTCCCCGATCGCCATCGCGCATTTCGGGCTGGACTTCGGAGCCGGCGCCCGTCTACACCACGGCGAGCGCACAGCCCTACGTGCCGCCGCTGCCTTCATCGGGGCCAGTGGTTGCCCACGGGGGGGTGCCCGCGTCGGGCGTCCTGTACGGGGGCGTGGACGGACCCCTGTTCCATGGGGGCTCGCTGCAGCCTTCTTCGTCGTTGTCCTCGGCACGCGACGACACTGCGGGGGGCGCTGTTTCGGTCATCAGCCCAGAGCCTCAACCGCCGAAGTTTTACAAGCTCGAGTTCTAGACATACGACGGCTCTACCGACCCCCTGAACTGGCTCAACCACTACGAGCAGTTCTTCCGGGGCCAGCAGACGTTGGCGTCCGATCGGACGTGGCTTGCCTCCTACCACCTCCGGGGCGAGGCGCAGACCTGGTACTATGCCCTGGAGCAGGATGAGGGCATGCCACCGTGGGAGCGCTTCTGCGACCTCTGCCGTCTGCGTTTCGGTC